CTCAGTGAAGAATCTGCTTAAGACTCTCTGCCTCTCCTTCTGCCCCTCAGCACTGCTCACTCTCTCTCTCTCTCAAATAAGTAAATAAAATCTTAAAAAAAGAGAGATGTGGTACACGCCTCCCCCACACACACACACTAGAATATTACTCAGCCATCAAAAAGAATGACACTTTGCCATTTGGAATGACATGGATGGAGCTAGAGTGTATTATGCTATGTGAAATAAGTCAGTCAGAGAAAGACAAATACCATATGGTTTCACTCATATGCAGAATTAAGAAATAAAACAGAGGAACATAGGGGAAGGGAGGGAAAAAGAAAATGAAAATAGGGAGTCAAACAATAAGAAACTCTTAACTGTAGGAAACAAACTGAGGGTTGCTGGAGGGGAGGTGGGTGGGGGATGGGGTAACTGGGTGATGGGCATTAAGGAGAGCACGTGATGTAATGAGCACTGGGTGTTGTATGCAACTGATGAATCACTAAATTTTACCCCTGAAACTAATAATACAGTATATGCTACCTAAATTGAATTTAAATTTTTTTAAAAAGCATCCAAAATCAATTGTATTTCTTTATATCTACTAGCAAAAAAAAAAAAAAAAATCAAGCCATGCCTTTATATTCTCCTAATGGTATTATACGATGACAGAAATTCTTAATTTTGGGGCACCTGGGTGGCTCAGTCGGTTAAGCGTCTGCCTTCGGCTCAGGTCATGATCCTGGAGTCCCGAGATCGATCCCCACATTGGGATCCGTGCTCAGTGGGGAGTCTGCTTCTCCCTCTCCCTCTGCCCCTCCCCCTGCCCCCGCTCCTGCTCTCTCTCTTGCTCACTCTCTCTCTCAAATAAATAAATAAAATCTTAAAAAAAAAGGAAAATCTTGATTTTAATGCAGCCCAATTCACCAATCTTTGTCTTGTGGTTAATGCTTTTGATATTCTGGTTAAGATAGGTTTCCTTATTCAAAGCTGTATTGATTTACCTTTCCTTTTTATCTATTTATTTATTTTATTATGTTATGTTAATCACCATACATTACATCATTGGTTTTTGATGTAGCGTTCCATGATTCATTGTTTGCATATAACACCCAGTGCTCCATTCAATACGTGCCCTCTTTAATACCCATCACCAGGCTAACCCATCCCCCACCCCCCTCCCCTCTAGAGCCCTCAGTTTGTTTCTCAGAGTCCATAGTCTTTCATGGCTCATCTCCCCCTCCGATTTCCCCCGCTTCATTTTTCCCTTCCTACTATCTTCTCTTTTTATTTATTTAACATATAATGTATTATTTGTTTCAGAGTTACCTTTCCTTTTTAGATCTGCAGTCTGTCTGGATTTTTTTTGGTGTGAGGGAGGGAAAGATTTTTATTTTTTCCATATGAATATTCAGTTGTATATTAGGCCCAATATCATTTATCAAAAATACTGCCTTATTACCACTACTGTATAGAACTACCTTTGTCATGAATAAAACATACATGCATGGGGCAAAAGGTCCAAGCCAAACTAATTTTAAAAACAATTCCATTTACAATATCATCAAAAACCTGAAATACTTCCTGGTTGAATTTAACAAAATCATGCCAGCCCTGGACACTGAATACTACACAACAATGCTGAGAGAAATTAAAGAAGATCTAAATAAATGAAGAGATACATGATGCTTCTGAGTTGAAGGCTCTTAATAGATGTCAGTTCTTCTCAATTTGATCTCTAGATTCAACATGGTCACTATCAAAAATCACAGCAGATTTTTTAATAGAAATTGAGAAGATGATTCCAAGATTTGTATGGAAATATCAAGAACCTAGGAAAGCAAAAATAATCTTAGGAAGAAAAAGTGGGAAGACTTGCACTAAACAATTTCAAGACTTAATAAAAAGCTACATAGTATAAAGCTACACCCTGGTGTGGTAGTGTGCTAAGGATAAGTAAATCAGTGAAACATGACAGAGAGTCCAGAAATAGAGCCACACACATGCAGTCACTTAATTCTTTACAAAGATGCCAGTGCAATTCATTAGAAGAAAGAATGGTCTATTCCACAAATGATGTTAGAGCAACTAGATGTCTAAATGTATGAAGTAAACCTTGACCCACATGTTTCCCCAAAATTAAGTTAAAATGGATTTTAGACCTAAAATGTATAAAGCTTCTAGCAAAAAATAAGTCTTAATGACTTTGCAGTAAGTAAACTTTCTTGGATACAAAAACAACAAAACAAAACAAAGGAAACCCCACTAATCACTAGGGAAAATTTTTTAAAAAATTTTTTAAACCACTAATCATGAGGGCTTTATCAAAATGCTTAAATTATGTTCTTCAAAATTATATTAAGAAAATGAAAGGGCAAGCCACAGAGTAGGGGAAAATATTTGCAACACCTGTAACTCACAATGGTAATAAGAAGACAAACAACACAATTAAAAGTGGCCAAAATATCTGAACAGGCACTTCATAAAAGAAGATTAGCAAATGACCAGTGATCCTCAACGTCATTAGATGTCAGGGAAATGAAAATTAAAAGTACAGTAAGATACCACTTAATACCCACCAGGAGAGTGTCTGAAATTAAAAAAAAAAAATTTATAATACCCAAATGTTGCAGAGGATGCAAAACAACTGGAATCCTCATACATTGCTGATGAGAGCATGACATGGTACAACTTCAAAAAACTATTTAACAGTTTCCTATAAAGCTAAATGTACCCTCACCATATGATCCAGAAATTCTACTCCAGATATTTATCCAAAAAAAAAGATGTACATCCACAAATGACTTGTACCAAATGTTCATAGTAGTTGTATTCATAATAGCCCAAACTAGAAACAATCCAAATGTCCATCAACAAGTCAAAGGATAAACAAGTTGCTGTATATTTACACAATGGAATGGTATCCAGAATTAACAAAAAACAAACTATGATAAACACAGAAACATGGTTAATCTTACAAGACATTCCACTGAGAAAAGGAAGCAAGAAACAAGAGTACATATATATGATACCATTCATATGAAGTTCTAGAATAATAGTTCATAATAAAAGTTACCTCAAGATTAAAAGAGTTCAAGCTATACACTTAAGATTTGTGGATTTAAATGTAGGTATACACAACTAATGAATCATTGAACACTACATCAAAAACTAATGATGTACCATATGCTGGTTAACTGAACATAATAAAAAAAGAAAAAAATAAGCAGAAAAAAATAAATGTGCCTCAATTATGTACTATAAAATAATTTTTAAACCACCATGTTGTTATGTCTTTGATGATTTATCTGTCCCCGTTCCATTAACAAGGTTATGCCCTTAGGTACCCCTATAATTTTCCAAGTTTTACACTTTTTGAAGTCCATTCAGTGGTGAGATTCCCTATATTCTCCCTCATTTGACAGAAATTAGAAATGCCCAGACCAAGAAAATATTTGCAAATGTCTTATCAGATAAAGAGCTAGTTCCCAAAATCAATAAAGAATTTATCAAACTCAACACTCAAAAAAAAAACCCAAAAAATCCAGTCAAGAAATGGGCAAAAGTCATGAACAGATATTTCTCCAAAGAAGACATACAGATGGCCAGCGGACATGAAAAAAGGCTCGACAGCACTTGGTATCAGGGAAATACAAATCAAAACCACAATGAGATACCACCTTACACCTGTCAGAATGGCTAAAATGGGGCGCCTGGGTGGCTCAGATGGTTAAGCGTCTGCCTTCGGCTCAGGTCATGATCCCAGGGTCCTGGGATCGAGTCCCGCATCGGGCTCCCTGCTCCTTGGGAGCCTGCTTCTCTCTCTTTCTCTCTCCCTCTCTCTCTCTCCCTCTGTCTCTCATGAATAAATAAATAAAATATTAAAAAAAAAGAATGGCTAAAATGAACAACTCAGGAAATGACAGATGTTGGCAAGGATGCAGAGAAAGGGTAACCCTCTTACACTGTTAGTGGGAATGCAAACTGGTGCAGCCACTCTGGAAAACAGTGTATAGGTTCCTCAAAAAAGTTAAAAATAGCACTACCCTATGACCCAACAATTGCACTACTACGTATTTATCCAAAGGATACAAACACAGTGATTCGAAAGGGCATATGCACCCCAATATCCATAGCAGCAATGTCCACAATAGCCAAAATATGGAAAGAGCCCAGATGTCCATCGACTGATGAATGGATAAAGAAGAGGTGGTATGTATATACAATGGAATATTACTCAGCCATCAAAAAGAATGAAATCTTGCCATTTGCAACGACATGGGTGGAACTAGAGGGTATTATGCTAAGCGAAATAAGTCAGAGAAAGACAAATACCATATGATTTCACTCATATGTGGAATTTAAGAAACAAAACAGGTGAACATAGGGGAAGGGAAGGAAAAATAAGATGAAAATAGAGAGGGAGGCAAATCATAAGAGACTCTTAACTCTAGAAAACAAACTGAGGGTTGCTGGAGGGGAGGGTGTGGGGAATGGGGTACCTGGGTGACAGTCATTAAGGAGGGCACATGATGTGATGAGCACTGGGTGTTGTATGCAACTGATGAATCACTAAATTCTACCTCTGAGGGGCCCCTGGATAGTTCAGTCGATTAAGTGGCTGCCTTCAGCTCAGTCATGATCTCAGGCTCCTGGGATTGAGCCCTGCATGGGACTCCCTGCTCAGCGGGAAGTCTGCTTCTCCCTCTTCCTCTGCCCCTCCTCCTTGCTTGTGCACGCTCTCTCTCTCTCAAATAAATAAATAAAATATTTTTTAAAAAATGCTACCTCTGAAACTAATAATGCAGCATATGTTAATTAAATTGAATTTCAATAAAAAAATATTTAATTAAAAAAAAGTGCCCAGACCAGCAAATGTGTAAGACACAGCAGCCATTTTGAATGTCAGCTACCAATTCAGATATATTTATAAAGCAAGATTTGTAAAAATATCTCATTGGAGACACTTAGTTGGGGAAACTTGTGTTTATATTTTTCCAGATCAGCCCAGAACTCACCTCTGATTTTTGTCTGGTTGCATGATAAGGATGTTCAAACTCAGACCATGAGGAGAATGCCATCCAACAATGATGATGCAGGGTTTCAGAGGGATGTGCAGAGCCAGGCCCTTAAATAAACCCGTGAGTAATGTGCTTGATGGTCACTGAGCTTCTCAAGGGCTTATGGAATTATTTAAGATTTGGAAGAAAGAATGTATTGTCCAAAATGTTAGAATAAAACGATAAAATTATAAATGTGTAATTAAATGTTTACACAATGTAATATGTTAACTAGTCAAGGAAAACCCACTTCAACATATATGTAAATTATATTAAATGTGGTATATGGATGCACTTTAGTATGTTTGGTATGATGTAGGATGAATTAGCCAAAATAGATTTGCCTTAACAGCGCAAAGGCCAGGAAAATATTGCCTTGATTATGTGACATATTGTAACTTTTCTGTTAAGTCTGATAACCCCCACTTCATTTTTGTGCACAAACAGAAGACTGTGACTGCTTCTTTCATTTCTGGAATCACAAAAGAGGTCAGTCTACATGGTTCTGGGGACCAGGAGCCCAAGCTCTTAAAGACAGATCCCTAAATGACCAATGGACAAGAACCAGGCATCTGGCACTTGCTGGAACAACTTCATGAGACCCCCTCAGCCTCGTGTTCTGCTGCCCTTCATGCCATCTCATGATCTGTGAGGGCCGGGTGCCTGGGTGGCTCAGTCGGTTAAGCATCTGCCTTTGGCTCAGGTCATGATTCCTCAGCACTTCTTCAATGCTTCTTCCTCTGCCCCTCCCCTCCGCTTGTGCTCCCTCTCTGGCCCTCTCTCTCTCCCTCTCAAATAAATAAAATCTTAAAAAAAAAAAAAAGATCTGTGAGGGCAACTGATCCGGTGCCTTGGGTCACATTATCTGGGATAAAAGCAGCTGTCCTCCAGCTACTTCCCTCAACCCAGCATCCCGGATCCTGGAAAATCCCTAAAGCCTAAGTCATTTGAATGTGTGCTAACCACATTTTTTGTTACCTCTGACCTTCAGAATGGAAAGAATATGGGCTTAGGAGTCACCCAGACGTATGCCTTAGTCATCAAATATCAGGTTGGACATAGCCCTTGGCTGGAGGTTCTGGTCTAGGCTCTGCCATTTACAGGCTCTATGACTTCACAGTAATTGCTTCTCTGAACCCCATCATCTCATCTGGAAATGCAAGAAAGAACCCCAGTTTCCAGAGCTGCTTTCATGATAGTTAATAAGATATTGTGTGTGATGGCATTAGCACAATGCCTGGCATGTAGTGAGCGCTCAAAACACTGTCAGACAAGAAGCAGATTAATGGTGATCAGGGGCTAAGGATAGTAGGGAAAGGGGAGGACTGGCTTAATGGGTGCAGGGTTCCCTTTTGGGATCATGAAAATGTCCAGGAACTAGATATTGGTGAAGGTGTACAACATTGTGAAGGCATTAAATGCCTCTCAATAGTACACCTTAAAATGTCTAAAGTGGGGGCGCCTGGGTGGCTCAGTCGGTTAAGCATCTGACTCTTGAGCTCAGCTCAGGTCTTGCTTTCAGCTCAGGTTTTGATCTCAGCTCAGGTCTTGATCTCAGGGTCATGAGTTCAAGCCCCATGTTGGGCTCCATGCTGGGTGTGAAGCCTACTTAAAAAAATAAAATAAAACTTCTAAAGTGGTCAACTTTATGTTACGTAGACCCCCTTCCCCACCCCATAGGGTGAGTGAGAAGGAGGAAGAAACTAGGATCTGTCTTGAGTCCCTCCCATGGAGGCAAGAACTGAGAACAAGACCAGAGCAGGCACTTGAGTATCCCATGGTGGGGGAAGGGCAGAGCTCAGGATTGGAGCTGCACAACTCCAAGCTGCAAGGGAGAGGTGGGGGCAGTCAGCAGCGATGGGGAGATAAATGGGCACAGCTCTTCAGACTTCAGGGAACTGGTTTTCAGTGATCATCATCGTGCTGTATGGAGTGCAAGTCATAGATCCAAAAAGAGATAACAAGCCTGGAAAAAGTGAGTCATGGGGGAGGGAAAGAAAATGTTGCCCATCAGGCGCCTGAGTGGCTCAGTTGGTTAGGCGACTTCCTTTGGCTCAGGTCATGATCCTGGAGTCCCGGGATCGAGTCCCGCATCGGACTCCCTGCTCAGCGGGGAGTCTGCTTCTCCCTCAGACCCTCCCCCCCCATGCTCTCTCTCTATCTCATTCTCTCTCTCAAATAAATAAATAAAATCTTTAAAAAAAAAAAGAAAAAAAAAGAAAATGTTGCCCATCTAAAGAGGAAAAGAATGACCAAGAGCCTGCATGATGTGGTGCAGAGGTCTCCATCTGAGGCTTATTAACAGAATCATCTGGAAGTGTATTAACATCACCAATGCCCACCACATCACTGCACCCTGCACCTTCTATTCCCTCATCTCCACTGTGATTCTGGTTCTGGAGGTCTTGATGGGTCACATGGTGGAAATCGGACCACACATCAGAACTTCATTGCTGCCTCCCACCCCTTTGCAGCTGTAGGAGTGTGGACAGGTCACCTTATTTCTCTGCGTCTCGGTATCCTCCTTTGTGAAACAGGAAAACGTACTCATGGGGCTAAGTAATAGTTAATTAAGTGGACAGGAAAAGTACATACCACAGAGCAGGTTCTTAATTAATTTGTATTTCCTTTCCCCTTCTCTATTGGGGCGTATCACACTAGTGAATCTATTTTCTCATTCCATCAAGCTGTAAAGCAGAAGACACAGCCGGGGATTTTGACTAGAGAACAAGAACCAGTTCCCGTAATAAATGTGATAAAAGATGACATTTTAAATAGACACTTCGTTATAAGTTAAAATCTGCCACCGAGGCAGCTTTATTCGTACTAGTCAAAAAATGCAAACAACCCCAGTGTTCATCGACAGTAGGCTAGATAAATCCTTTGTGGTACACATCACTTCGAAGCAATTAAAAGAATATCAAACTGCTTATAGACACAACAACATGGATGTCAACAGAAATTCTGAGCAAAAGAAGCCAGACACACACAAAAATACATACTTGTATGACTCTATTCAAATGAAATTTAGAAGCAGACGAAACTAACCAGTGGGGAGGGAAGTCAGAAGAGTGGTTACATTTTGTAGGTTTTTGACCAGGAAAGGGCACAAAAGAGGCTATAGTGCTGGAAATGTTCTGTCTTGGATTTTTGGTGGTTGCTTGAGTTTATGTAAAAATTCATTGAGGTATGCACTTAAGATTAGTGCACTTTGTTGTATGTATGTTATACTCCCAGGTGGCGGGGGCGGGGGGGGGGGCAGGAGAGAACCCGCCATAGAAGTCCACAAGAATGTATTGCCATGCTGTCCTAAAACCCAAAATACCAAGCCCGAAGTTGTGCCTCGGGGGTTCAAAAGTGGGTTCAAAAGTCCTTTTGACCAAAAGTAGAAAGATTGAGAAAGGAAAAAAATTATTTTTGACCCAACCTGGGAGGAAACCAACTTTGAATGAATGAAACATGAATAACATCTAAAATCAAGATCATGAAGCAAGTGTTTTATTGGAGTTCCCTTAAGAGTGCTCTATAAAAGTGTCATTGAAGTTTTAATATTCTTTACTGTCATTCACTCAAAGCTATTTTAAAGTCCATTTTTGTAGGAAAAGCACGCTTAAGCAGGAGTCGGTCGTAGGCATGTCTGACATTTTTTACACTTTCTACTCAAACGTTATTAGAAAAAGTGGGCTATGTGTACTCGACTCTCTTTGCACCTCTGCTGTTCTGTACTTCTGAAATTTCACTTCTTACGTTCTTCGCTTGCACTTACTTTGAGCTGCTGCAGGGTCAACAATGGTACCACTGTGATGCTCTTTGCGGTGTTCCAAGGTTAGGGCCCACACAGGCAAAACGGGCCCAGAAATACTCAGAGCCACTGAAGTGACCTTCCCTGTCCCTCAGTCCCTTTGAACATCCTTCTTATGTATGAATTTCCCACATTATCGGTCCCTCCCCCAAAGGGTGCAAGCCAGAAAACTCCCTCCCTCCCCCGTCTCTTGGAGCTAGAGCTCAGGCATGGGGGCTAGGCTCCACTAATAGGACATGAAATAAAAATGACTTTAGGGGCGCCTGGGTGGCTCAGTTGGTTAAGCGACTGCCTTCGGCTCAGGTCATGATCCTGGAGTCCCGAGATCGAGTCCCACATCGGGCTCCCTGCTTAGCAAACAAACCCTTTGTTTCCTGAGATTAAGAATCCTCATATCAGTGAGGTCATATGATATGTGTCTTTCTCTGATTGACTTATTTCGCTCAGCATAACACCCTCCAGTTCCAGCCACGTCGTTGCAAATGGCAAGATCTCATTCCTTTTGATGGCTGCATAATATTCCATTGTAGATATATACCACATCTTCTTTATCCATTCATCTGTCGATGGACATCTTGGCTCTTTCCACAGTTTGGCTATTGTGGACATTGCTGCTATAAACATTGGGGTGCACGTACCCCTTCGGATCCCTACATTTGTATCTTTGGGGTAAATACCCAGTAGTGCAATTGCTGGGTCGTAGGGTAGCTCTGTGTTCAACTTTTTGAGGAACCTCCATTCTGTTTTCCAGAGGGGCTGCACCAGCTTGCATTCCCACCAACAGTGTAGGACGGTTCCCCTTTCTCCGCATCCCCGCCAACATCTGTCGTTTCCTGACTTGTTAATTTTAGCCATTTTGACTGGTGTGAGGTGATATCTCATTGAGGTTTTGATTTGGATTTTCCTGATGCCAAGCGACGTTGAGCACTTTTTCATGTGTCTGTTGGCCATTTGGATGTCTTCTTTGGAAAAATGTCTGTTCATGTCTTCTGCCTGTTTCTTGATTGGATCATTTGTTCTTTGGGTGTTGAGTTTGATAAGTTCTTTATAGATTTTGGATACTAGCCCTTTATGTGATATGTCATTTGCAAATATCTTCTCCCATTCTGTCGGTTGTCTTTTGGTTTTGTGGGCTGTTTCTTTTGCTATGAAAAAGCTTTTTATCTTGATGAAGTCCCAATAGTTCATTTTTGCCCTTCCTTCCCTTGCCTTTGGCAATGTTTCTAGGAAGAAGTTGCTGCAGCTGTGGTCGAAGAGGTTGCTGCCTGTGTTCTCCTTTAGGATTTTGATGGACTCCTGTCTCACATTCAGGTCTTTCAACCATTTGGAGTCTATTTTTGTGTGTGGTGTAAGGAAATGGTCCAGTTTCATTCTTCTGCATGTGGCTGTCCAATTTTCCCAACACCATTTGTTGAAGAGACTGTCTTTTTTCCATTGGACATTCTTTCCTACTTTGTTGAAGATTAGGTGACCATAGAGTTGAGGGTCCATTTCTGGGCTCTCTATTCTGTTCCATTGATCTATGGGTCTGTTTTTGTGCCAGTACCATACTGTCTTGATGATGACAGCTTTGTAATAGAGCTGGAGGTCTGGAATTGTGATGCCACCAGCTTTGCTCTTCTTTTTCAACATTCCTCTGGCTATTCAGGGTCTTTTCTGGTTCCATACAAATTTTAGGATGATTTGTTCCATTTCTTTGAAAAAAGTGGATGGTATTTTGATGGGGATTGCATTGAATGTGTAGATTGCTCTAGGTAGCATTGACATCTTCACAATGTTTGTTCTTCCAATCCATGAGCATGGAACGTTTTTCCATTTCTTTGTGTCTTCCTCAATTTCTTTCATGAGTATTTTATAGTTTTCTGAGTAGAGATCCTTTGCCTCTTTGGTTAGATTTATTCCTAGGTATCTTATGGTTTTGGGTGCAATTGAAAATGGGATCAACTCCTTAATTTCTCTTTCTTCTGTCTTGTTGTTGGTGTATAGGAATGCAACTGATTTCTGTGCATTGATTTTATATCCTGCCACTTTACTGAATTCCTGTATGAGTTCTAGCAGTTTTGGGGTGGAGTCTTTTGGGTTTTCCACATAAAATATCATTTCATCTGCAAACAGTGAGAGTTTGACTTCTTCTTTGCCAATTTGGATGCCTTTGATTTCTTTTTGTTGTCTGATTGCTGTGGCTAGGACTTCTAATACTATGGTGAATAGCAGTGGTGATAGTGGACATCCCTGCCGCGTTCCTGACCTTAGGGGAAAAGCTCTCAGTTTTTCCCCATTGCGAATGATATTCGCTGTGGGTTTTTCACAGATGGCTTTTATGATATTGAGGTATGTACCCTCTATCCCTATACTCTGAAGAGTTTTGATCAAGAAAGGATGCTGTACTTTGTCAAATGCTTTTTCTGCATCTATTCAGAGGATCATATGATTCTTTTTCTTTCTTTTGTTAATGTATTGTATCACGTTGATTGATTTGTGGATGTTGAACCAACCTTGTAGCCCAGGGATAAATCCCACTTGGTCATGGTGAATAATCCTTTTAATGAACTGTTGGATCCTACTGGCTAGTATTTTGGTGAGAATTTTTGCATCCATGTTCATCAAGGATATTGGTCTGTAATTCTCCTTTTTGATGGGGTCTTTGAAAATGACTTTAATTCTAAGTAGAGAAAAGTGGGGAAGCAGGCACCATGCAGAGTGAATCCACTTTCTGGCAGGGGTGGCTGGAGAAGCCGCCAGGTCTCATTTTGGCGGAGGGGTGCCATCTGATATGTGGCAGGAGCGGAGGCCTCTTTACTGGACCAGGGGCTGCTGTTTCTGGGCATGAAGCCTCCGAGCCTAATTCTCTGGTCCTGGCAATGGTTCCATGAACCGTGCAGTTCCTTCTAATAAATTTCTTCCTGCTTAAACGGGCTAGAGGGAGTTCTGATGTTTGCACTGAGAGCCCTGAGTGTCACCCACTGTTGTCAGTCAGGGTTCTCTAGAGAAACAGAACCAATAGGAGGTGATAGAGAGATAGATAGATGATGATGGTGATAAATAGATAGATGATAGATGATAGATTGATAGATAGATGATAGATGCTCGATGATAGATAGATGATAGATCGATAGATAGATATAGATAGATGATAGATAAACAGCTCCATTTTTAGGAACTGGCTCATACTTCATCAGGGTTGACAAATCTAAAATCCATATGGCAGGCTGGAAACTCAAGCAGGAGTTGAGGCTATAGTCTCGAGGCAGAATTTCCTCTTCTCTTGGAGAATCTCGGTTTTTACCCTTAAATCCTCTCCACTAATTAGATGAGGCCCAGCCATATTATCAGGGTAATCTTTGCTTGAAGTCAACAGATTATAGATGTTCACCATGTCTGCCAAATATCTTCACAGCCATACCTAGATTCGTGTTTGATTAAATTACCAAGTACTGTAGCCCAGCCAAGGTGACACATAAAACTAACCGTCATACCTGCCAGATCAAGATTCCAGGAATGAGCAATTATTTTATGAGCAGTCAGAGCCTTCACTCTGAAGAAGCCTTCTTGGTGCACTGGGCATAAGTTTCTATGTGAAAAAAAATTTCATATACGGTTGTCCATACAAAACAAAATCCACCTCAGCTAGGCACCTGCATTCAAGAGAAGACGATCCTTGGAACCCGTCCCATCATCCCACCCCCACAGCCCTCCACCTGGCTCCAGTTGCCGTCACCTCTCAGCTGGACCATGGCCACAGCCTCCTCACCATTCTGCCAACCTTCAGTCCTTCCTGCTCTACCCTGTTGTCCACCCGCCCCCCGGCCAGTGCTCTTTCTTAAACACTAGCCTAATTGTGCCTCCCCTTGATTAAAATTCCTTCCAGATCATCATAGTTCTCTGTCATCTCAGGCCAACAGCCATTAAGGCACCAATTCTGACCAACTTAAGTGAAAGAGGAATTCATGGAGCAGCCCCCAGGAAGGAAGGAAAAGCTGAGGTCTTGAGAAGGGCAGGAACCCAGGCTTCCCCAGTGACCGTAGAAGCAGCAACTAAAGGACAATCTTTTCAGAGCCCAGCTGTGGGGATGAATCAGTCGGTCATTTCAATCTCCATGCAACTCCACTCATCGGCCAGTTTAGAAGGAGAGGGTGTCTGATTGGCCAGGATTGATTCACAGACCCACCCCTTGGCCACAATAGGGCCCCTGATGGAACCACCAAGAATGGAATTAATGAGAAGGGGAGGAGTCTCAGGCCAGGTCAGGGTATTAGCAAAGAGGGGAAATCGATACCAGGTAAGCAAGGACAGGACGGGTGCTCCGTGCCCACTCTCAGCAGCCGAAGGATCCCTGATCAGCAGAGCAACTGGGGAGCTGAGAAAGATTGCATTCTCTGCATTCAACAGGACCAGGAAGGAATGGCAGAAGCAGTCCCCAGCTAACTAAGGAGAAACAAGGGCTTTGTGGACTGTAAGACAGGAACCCCAGCCCCAGGGACCCTCAGCTTGGACCCCATTTTCCCTCGTTGTTTCTGGGCCATTATTCTTCCTAAGGAAATCTAAGCCCCCAGTAGGGAGCATGAAGGAACTTTCCCAGCCTCTTACCTTTCCCTCTGACCTGTGTTCCCTTGGCTGGCTATGGGGGGCGGGGATGGGCTGGGGGTGGCCTAGGTGCCTGGGCTAGGGTCTCAGGTCTCAGGAGCCAAGCAGGAGGAGGGCAGAGTAGTATGGGTTAGAAGGGAAAGCACACTCACCCTGCCTTTGTCTTATTCCACTGTTGTCTTGTTTCTCATCTGCTCTACCCACACTGGAACGTGAGCTCCGGACAGACAAAAAAAAAAAAAAAGCCTCGTCTGTCTTGATCACTCACTGCTATAGCCCCAAGCCTGTAACAGTGACTGGTGTATAGTAAGCACTTAGCAAAATAAATATTTGTGACTGAAAGAATAGCATGTAAGAGCTACACCCCATCTTCTGCCTCTGACCCTGAGCCAGAGAGGCAAGATTAGGCCTGGAACTGAGTCAAATCAGGAAGAAAGAGGAAGCCAGAGCGGGGAAGAGCAGAGCCCCAGATTCAGCCAGACCCAGGTCCTGGACTGGCTTTGGCACCTTGTGGGGCCTGGCACTGGACCATCCTGGGTCTCAGTTCCCTTGTTTTTGAAACAAGGATTATACCACATAGTTCATGCTCTTGGGTAAGAATAAATGAGAATTAAATGTGGAAAATTGGCACACAGTAAGTGCCCTCCTTCCCAGATACCCTTCATCTCTGCCCACGTATGCTTTGTAAGGGAAGAAATTGCTTTAACCAGATGGTGGGAACTGAGCACTCTGTCCCCTGGGGCTGGGCAGTTTTATATTTTAGGAGAGCAGCCTGTGAAGGGCAATGCCTGACCCACAGCCGGAAATGGAGCATCATTGGTAGAAGAGCTAGGCAATGACAGGCTCCAGGGGCAGTGGAAGTTCTCATGCTGCTACCTCTAGCACATCGAGCTTGCAGCTAGGAGAGAGGCCACTCCAGTGTTGCCTCTGCTTCTGGAATGGAATGAAAAGCAATACATAGCAGGCAATTTGGAAAAAGAATTTTATTAGCTTCATGTGAAACAGCTGCCATGAGTCAAGACAAAGATGGTGACGCAGCTCTGGTGGCTTCCAACCAATGGCCTGGAAAAAGCCCACCTGTTCTTTCTACCTCCTTGGACCAGGGTCTAAGTCAGGGTCCCAAGAAGAACACCCGGCATCTTGCCCCCTTGGTGCAGGCACAGAGGTGGGCAATGCATTCTTGTGCATTGGTTCACAAGAACCTATGGTTCACCATAGGTTCTCCTGCTTTGTGGATATCTCACTGAACAGGAAAATGAATCAAATTACCATTTTAGGCATTCAGATCAAGACTAAGCTGACATACCAGACACCGTCCTGGATCAGGAACCAGGAGTACAACATTCTGAGCTGCCAATCAGAAAATCAACATTCTGGAGAGCCGCCCAGAATTCCAGAATGCAAAATAAGAATCCCCTACCTTTCTAGATGGTTTCATCAGGAGCTCCACATTTTAGAATGCCTATGTTCCAAATCAACCAGAAATCTGATATTCTAGGTTGTCAGCCAGGAACCCAGTGTTCTGGCATGCCAAAGAAGAATCCCTCCTAACATTCTAGATGGTCAGCCAGGAATTCAGCATTCTAGAATAACAAACAAGACCACGATATTCCAGGTAATGGGTGAGAGACACAAAGTTCTAAATGTCGACCCTGATGCTCTCGATGCCAAACCCAAGACCCAACATTCAGACTATCAACCCCGGACTCAGCTTTCTGGGATGACAAACACAAAACCCACCCTCCGGCTGCTGCTCCACCCGCTCAGAGCTCTGTGGACGGCCGCTCCACAGCACGCCCGCCATCCTGGTGAGGGTTGGGCACGTGGAAGGAGACGTATGGACAAGTCTTGGTGTTGAGGCAGACCAGCTTCTTCAGCGTGGCTGTCTTGACCATACTGAAGCCCATCTCACCACCGAATGTGCTCGGCTTCCAGTACTCTGGAGAGCAGATGGGATTCCCTAGGAGGCCCTTGAGGGAAAAGGGAGCCCCAATTTCTATCATACTCTCCCCAAAGATGGAGTTTGGATGGCACTTCTCCAGAAGCAGCCCCGGGTAGAACTCCAAGGCATCGATGTCTCCATACAGCTCCTCCAACTCGGCTGCGATCTCCTTCTCCCCTGAAAGGGGGGGAAGCTAGAGTCAGAGACGTGGTGCCATTAAGGTCAATGTGGGGAGGGAAGCTTCTAAGCCTACTTTTTCTGGGGAGAATATGGGACTTCAGAAGAGCAACTGAACAATTGAGCACATGCCCTAACATCTGGCCTGGCTGACCAGCCCTTCTCCAGGGCTGCATCTAGGGAAGAAACTTGCTGCTGAAGAAGGAATCGAAGGCCTGGATTGGCCACCAGACAGCATGTGGCCTTGAGCAACTCATCTCTCTTCTCGGTGCCCTAACTGCCTGATGGTGACAACAGGGAAATTCCATCCATCTTGCTTCATTGGCTCATTTCAAGAACGTATGCTGGTTCAAGTCCCTTCATTCTGCTGGAGCTCAGAGATGTAATATAACCTGTCCCAGCTCACAGAGAGATTTAGTTATAGTGTTCTTTTCCCCCTCTGGACTGTCACAGGAGATTAAAGAGTGACAGAATTATGGGGAACTCAATCCCCAGTCAGTGAAGCCCACACATTCATAGATAGTGACCAAAAGGGACAGACACAGAGCTTCCCTAGCCATTTCCTGAAACCCACCCTCTATAAGGCACTAGGACCCAGTCAAGGGTCATGTCACACCCTGGTCAAACGCTCCCACTGTTTATGACAAGAGTTCCCAAACTCTTGGCTGCCCAACAGCTGGAATGTTAAAAAAAGAAGAAGAAGAAAGTATATATATTATACACACACACAGACAGACTCTTGCGCTCCATGCAGGCCTACTGAATCAATCTCGGGGAGAGATATCTGGGATTTGGTATTTTTAATCAGTTTTCTAAGTGATTCTTAGGCAGCTGGTCCACAAGTATGTACTTAGGAACCACTAGGTAGAGTAAAACCCAAATTCTTTCACATAGAATCCACACAATTTGGCCCCAAGCTCCCATCCCTAACCCCTGCCCCCCCCACACACATAAGCCCCTTGCTCCAGGAGCAGCCCCCACCGTCCCCTCCGACAGGCTCATTCTTTATGGCCTCTTTGCCTTTGTACTTTCTGTTCTTCCATGTAGAATGCTTTTCCCCCCATTCTGCATCCAGAAAATCCCTATTTATCTCCTTCAAACCCAGCTGAGAAGCCACTTTCTTTCCCTTCACTCCCTTCACTCCCCGCCCCAGCACCGTGCTCACACACCTCTCATGACCCCAGTAGTCGTGGTGCTGGGGGCTAACACCCCACTCTGTTTCCACAATGTCCTCCTCACTTTACTGAAAATCTCTGAGGGCAGGGCCCGGGTCCAGGAAACAGCTGCTCACCTGTGAGCTCCTGGAAGGACGTATAGGGCCTCATGCCAAACCTCTTGCGGTACTCATTGAAGGGCTGCAGCCGCAGCTCTCGGGATTCCTTGATGGCCTCCACAGCCACGTACAGGACGTGGTGGTCTATGTTTCTACCCCCACCAATCTGCCAAGACATAAACATAGCTGCAGTCTGAAAGCCAGGCCACGCTGTCCTGGAGGAGGGGTTCAGGTCAGGAGCTCTTCCCAAGCACGGACAGAGCACGGCTGCACCCAGCAGCCACCATGCTGGGGACCTGGCCCCACTCTGCTGCTGTCATGCTCTCTTGGAGATACACTTGAGTCTTCGCTTCCTCATCGTTAAAGTGGCAGTGGGCCAAGAGGACCTCTCCAGTGGCTCACCAGCCACACTGTTCCCCAACCCTTTGCATCTAGGTGAGATCCCAACATTCCATTACAGAAGGTTCTGCAACTATTAGTTTTAGCAACTAGGATTCCATAAAAGAGATGGCCAGTATGGCACCAGCCAGGAGCTCAAGCAGAGGGGAAGGGCATTCTGGCTCTGGAAATGAAATTTGGAGGGGCAGAGGAGTTTCTGAGATAGCAAATGAGAAACAGAAATAAAGGGATGGATGGATATTAGTTTGGGGGGCTGAAACTTTTA